CCCTGCCTTAGCATCCAAAGGGCTGGGCGCAAGCTCTGGGAGTGGGTGCCGTGTGGGCCAAGCCATGGTCACAGGCAGGGTGGGAGGGGAAGCAGCGAAGCGGCAGAGGCGATGTGATTATCCGGCAAAGGAGTTTCCCAGCAGCCAGGCTGCAAGAGAGGAAGGCAAAACACACACTGCACACGGTGCACCCTGGCAGGGCCACGTCCCTTCTCTGTGCCGGCTTCTCCCTGCTGAGAACACAACACAGACGGGGAAAAGAGGGAGGCAATACAGAGGTTTGGAGAGGGTCTGATACGCAGTTGGACATGACAATAGCCCATCTACAAACAGTTGCGCAGGGAAGCTCACAAAAGCCTTCAAGTTGCAAGGAAACGGCTTAATCTTGATGCCTCTATTCCCTGTAAAAACGCAGATAACTCAACCTCATCTTTGCCCTTACTTTTGAGTGCAACTTGCTTTGGGGTTGGCACGTCCTCTTAGGTGTTACATGCCCCGCTAAAGCCACCCAAGTGCCCTGCCAGCACCGCTGCAGTGCACGTCACTGCCAAAAACCCTGAGCTCAGGTTCTTCACCTTGCGCTCCAAGTCAGGCCCATGGGAAGCAGTTGTTTCCCTCTGTAAACCCCACTAAAACGTTTTGTCTACCCCAGCCCTGTTTGCCCTCAAATCCCACCCCTATCACTAGAGGAAAGAGAAAGGAGGTGAAAGCCAGAGCCCTTGCCACTGATGGCCACTGGCCCTGCCGAGAGCTGGATCATCATCGATGGCGCCCCCGCTCTCACCGGAAAGCAAAACAAAGGCAGAAGTGAATCACCCCCCACTAAGCAACAAGTGGTCGTCTGGGACAGGAAACCCCAACCCCAGCCCTTTGCCCTGACCGCGTCAGGGCCCTGCCTCCCATCCTCTTCCTTTCCCGAGATGGGAATACTGCAACAGGGGAAGGATATGAAAAAACGCTCAGAGGAGAATCACTTGCCGGGCAATGAAGCCTATCAGGCCAGGCAGCCCGCGTGTGACAAGTATCTCCAGCTCCAAAAGCCTTCTGGCCAGCCTGATTATCTGTGCTTAGACTGCAGTTTTAAAGCCAAAAGAAACATGGCACAATGTGCCCTACCATCGAGGATGGGCCCACGCAAACCAAGGCAAACAAACCTCCCCTCCCCCAGAAACAAACATACACTCATCGTGGCGTTTATCTCCGCCACTGTCTCTTCATCCGTCGGGAACTGGTAGATCTGGACGCCGTTGCTGACCAGCTCGCTCATGATTTTGCTCTTAAACTTGTGCAACTCGTTTTTTGCAATAGTGTCAGCCTTGGCAATGATGGGGATGATGTTCACCTGCAAGACAAAGACAGCATCTCCACATACAGGACTGCACGTGTCGCGTCACTGGGAGAGGATGGAGAGCAGCACGCACCCTGCAGCAATGGCCCTATAAGTGCCACCAGCCACCGCCCCCCCCAGCAGAAGACCTTCCCTGGGGCTGCTGCTGACAGCACCACTGCCTTAGACAGGATTTATCAGGCAGCAGCGATGAAGGCCTTAAAAAGAAGTCAAATGCAATTTGGCAACGTGCTATTTCCTGCCCTGTCGTATTCCCCTCCTCATCCGAATTGGCTGGACAGGAAATGCTGTCATAGATTATTACAAGATGTTCCAAAAAAAAAAGAAAAAAAAAGGGAAATTACCATCTAGGCACTTCTCCTCCTCCACACCGCAGCAGGCTGGATTACTGCAAGCGACACGCTCAGACAATAGGCTCTCACGGGCACGTTTGCTTGGGTGCCGTTATCAAGGACACCCGGGTGGGCAGCAGTGCTGCTGTTACCCCCACTGGAGGTGGAAGCAGATGGTCCGTATCCACCCACGCTACACACAGGGTGGGGGCTGGCAGTAACACCGGCAAGCTTCCTCCACCTGCATGCCCTCACATGCTCCCATACACCGCTGTACTGCAGGACTGGGGTTGATTTATCCCTGCACAGCTCTAAGACAATCATCCAAAGGAACCGCATGATGGGGTTAACACAGAAATGAAAGATAAGTTACCGACTCTCTTCCCTAGACAGGCTATTTGCAACACTGGCAGCAGGACGGCAAACAGCAACACCATCTAGGAGCCGAGGGGAGAAAGCACCGTACCCTCAGCGTAGCTGAACGGATCGATGCACAGCGAGCACCACACAAGTATCTGGTTTGCTGGGAGAGGGTGAGAATGCATTAGGACCAGGAATCCTGCTTTGTTTCTCTTCCTACTCCCTCCAGATGGACAATTTCTGCTTTTGATCTTGCAGGATTTGCTTTTTCTTGCAATAGCAGACAGAAGTTCTAGTGCGGAAGGTGTTGATATTGACCTATATGAGGGGATTTTAACTACAGTACTTGAAAATCCTCTTATACATCGCTTAATTCTGTTCGGAGGATGGCCTGGAGTTATTAAATCCCCCTTTGCCAAAAGACAGAACATGAATGCCAATTAGCTCGCTTTGGGTAAATCTCCATAACCCTATTTTGAGTTGAATAGGGCAGGGATCCTTCTCCATCACTGCATAAAACCCAATCGATAGGGCACTCCAGGAAATAAAGGACCATTGTCATCACTTATCTTCTGCAGAATCGGGATCCAATGAGCCAAAGGTGCAATGTGGACTGATATAACTTGCTTAATCATGATGTTAAGAAGCACAGAGAAAGCTCAGTGTATATAATGAGGTTTTACATTTGTACCTCGGTTATTTTCCCTAGAAGAAGAGATGAAATCTTCTTGCAAGTATCTAGTAAAACACCATGGTTTAAACCAAGCTCGGTTCCCATTCTTGCTAGTCATGAGGATAATTGAAAAAGCACATGCCAAGTAACACATTTATTCAGATTCTTCTTGTTTATCGGATTATGGTTAGAACAACACTGCATTTGCCACAGAAGATCAAATCACTGTTTGTGTCTAGCTGGACGCAGTGAGAGCACGCAAACCTTTTGATTTGTTTTTCATTGATTAGTAGGATGACCTAAAGTGTTCTAGATTTACTTCTCATCTCATACACACTCACCAAATCAGCTTTTGTACAAGAACCGAATTAATCTGTTGGACAAAGTGAAACAGAGATAGCAACCATGTCTTTGAGCGCTAGAACTAGCAGAGTTCAACTTCAGCCTCTCGTTTTTATTCATGCATTTATGGAGGAAAACACACTTTTCTCCCTTTTTCAACAGCCAACTGATCTTTCAGTTGTGAACAAACCTGTCAACTGAACTTGGCTGAGTTAACCCACAGGAAAGCAAAAAGGACTGCGGTCTCCTCATGCATCCTCATAAATACAGTTTCCTGCTCTCAGATTGCTAACTTTATAGCATAGCTGTGAAGCAAGCGGCCAAGTTTCCTACCCCGAGATGGGACCGGAAGAGAGTAGGAGCCCTTAATAAATCTCTGCAGCATATGAATCCGTGAATAATGACCCATTCTAGCAGCTAGCCCAAGGTAAAGTTTTCACAGGGCACCTCTGCAATTCCCTGCTGGTCAAAACAGACAGTATTTTTCTAAGCAGGTTTAACTAAGCCTGTGGCAAGATCATAAAAGCACTAGCAGGGTCATGCAAGGGTCGGAACATGAGCAGCAAGTACCTTGCTGTCGAGCTTCTTCATGGTGACCAAGTCTAGGGACTTCAGCGAGTGTCCGGTTGGTGCAATGAAATATAGGCAGGCGTGAATTCTGGTGTCGTGGTAATTGAACAGGGAGCGTTTGATCTTCAGCTCTTCTTGCAAGTAGGCTTCAAACTGCGCATCGATATATTCTACTATAGGCTTGTAGCTGAAGAGAGAAAACACGGCACAGAGAAAACCAGGGCATTCACTGCTGCGACAACACAGGTCACTGATCAACACTCAGGAAGCTTCATGGGTGCTCTGTGCATCACGGGACAAACGCTGCTCTTAGGACGCTCCCCGCCCAACCTACAGTCCCTCCTTAGCAAGTGTGCGTTTCCACTTGGTGTACAAGGAGGGTATTATGGACCTATTAGCAAGATAAAACGGCAGAGACCCTGGATTTTAGGTGCATGGAAACCACACAAGGCTGCTACCCTGAAAAAGAATGTATCTTGCAGTCTCCCCAATTAAAGTCCAAGCTGCTGCTCTTCCAATGTCACCAAGAATCATCCGATACAAGAAAATTGAAACACGAAACCGCCACCTACCCTAGCTTGTCCAAAAGCTTGTTTGTGATCTTAAGAGGGAAGGGAGATTCACAAGGGGATAAAAGGAACTTTTCAGGAATTGAAGCCTGTGAGTAAAGCTCAGGAGAACTACACTGCTTGTGTACTTTGGGGGGACCGTTTTGTGGAAGGAAAAAAGTTGGTGCCGTGTAACATGCCCTGACTAACTGATTGTGCTTCTGGAAGGGGAACTTTTGAGTTTGTTCCTCCCTCCATCAAGGGCAGCCTCAGGACCTCCAGCCCAAGGAAGGCCTCGAAGGAAGACACTGAAACCAAGGCACCTAGACAACACTGCCACTGCCTTCAGCACTGGATTCACAGCAGTGTTAATGCCCTCCCTCAAAAGCAGTTGTGAGGAGGAAATAGGCCGTCAGGAGTTCTCAGGTCCTCCAGAAACACCCTCTGAGAGGCAGCCAGCAAGGCTCTGGTCTGGCCCCTCTGCTCCAGATGCCAGCGCAGCTATTTGAGCAGTTGCTCAAAACCCTTGGTGAAGCAGAGCAGACTCTTGCTTGATTTACCAAGCGAGAGCTATAGCAAAAGACATCCAGTGCTGCGTGAGGGCCACCGACGCAAGAGACCCATAAGACAGTACTGAGCACTGCTTGTGAATTTGCAGACACGGAAGGTATCATGAATATCACTAGGTGGGTTTGTAACATGACTGCCACCCCAATTTCTTTGCTTTTGGAAATTCTGTCTCTGACCACGAGACCTCAAAAACCTCAGACAGAGGCACGTTGCGAAGAAAGCAGTAAGGCCTTACTTACATTGGGAGATCATATTAGAGAAAGCACCGTAAAAAAAGCAGAGCGAAAAAGGACTGAGAGGACTCAAACCAGAAGCACAGAGAAAATCCCACCCGCTGCAGCTGTATGTGTCGGGACCCAGCAGCAGGACAAAAGCTCTCCCTAAGCCCCGCTGCCCTGTGAATGCCCCTTTCTCCAACTGCCCGAGAGGGAAGTTGGAGGGGTTTCACCGTCAATACCGCTAGCTCTTCTTGTCTGCCGAATGAAGCAAATGCAAAGCGACCCGGCAGTAACAAGCTGCAGAGCATCCCTGCTCTGAGCACCTGCTCCTCCTCTCAGCAGCTTTTGTTCTTGCCCGAGAGCATATGGCAGCGTCTGACATGCAGGGCTCTCCCCCCAGCCAGCACACGCCTCTCACCATTTTGGCTCTGTAACGTTAGTTAGGAGCAGGAGCTGCAAAGCAGGGGCAGCAGTTGCGTCTTAGCGTCAGGTCAAGCAGTGAGGAAGCGTTACAGAAAAAAAGCATTGTAAAATCTCTTAAAAATCTAGAATTTTCCGTGTGGAACGGGAAGCAGAAGCTGCTCAATCTCCATGCTAACGAGGATCTTGGTGGAAAATTTGATATTAAGCTTGCATTTTCAAAGAGCTTACGCTATCTACCTAGTGCCCTAACAGCTTGTGGTCAGCGCACACATTGCTGGCCAGTGTGCCCTTGCTTGGCAAGGTGCAGAGAAGAGGATTGCAAACAACCCTCCAGAGGCAGCTGGGATTACTGCAACTGGCTCTAAGATACAGGTACTGCATTAATTAGCTTATTAGCCATGATCACAGAAGGACTAGTTTTAACACTACAGCAAAAGTCCATATGGATGGACACAAGGGATTGCGTAGGCTGCCCAGAATATTTACTTCATGCGTACAACGTGAAAATCAGCACCTAGGTACGTTAAAGTAAAACCCACTTCGACTTGAACATTGCGGGATGGCACAAACAGGAACTATGATCCAAGTTCCAGCTCTGTAAAAGATGCAAAGTAATCGCAATTTGAACTCATGCTTTCAAATATTTACATGTTTCAACTCAAGCACAGACTTCAACTAAGCTGCACAGAGACAAGGAGGGCGGAAACCCAGTTTCGGTTCTGTAGCCTAGTTGACCTGTTTGCTCTTCGTTTCTACCCGTCTCATGGGGCGAGTGATGCTAGCTGCCACACCCGGATGAGGAAACACTCCCAGGAACAGCGAGGGACCTACTCCCCACACAGGGTCAGGCCCGTCTGATCTAAGAGCACATCAGCACAAGGATTCCTTCTCCGGACAGAAATAAATTTACCTGTCATCTTTGTTAATTTGATCGCCAAATCCAACCGTGTCGACAATAGTCAGCTTCAGACGGACATTACTCTCCTGGAGCTCGTAACTCCTGGCTTTCAATCTCACGCCAGGCTCGTTGTGCGTCGCAGGTTCACTTTCAAACTTCGTATTGAACAGAGTGTCCATCAACGTTGACTTGCCGATGCCAGTTTCACCTGAGCCCACAAAGGCAACATTAGTACGGTCCGATCCCTTTTCCTCACCTCATTGCCAGGCACGTTTGCCAGGCTGAGGAGTTATTCCACTTGGGTAACAGTGGAATTAGGCTACGTGCACACAGCTAAACAAATTAATCCCTGCAGGAACAGACGTCTTTTGAGACAGTCCCCATCTTTACCAGTCCCCCAGGACTGAACCAGGGCCTTGGCAGACACTGGGAGGTGACAGCAGCTCTGGCTTCTGCTGCTGGGCTCCAAGTAATTTCCTCCGCAAGTCACACCGCCTGGGTCCCTGCAGCACACCTTGCAGACATACCCGATCAAAGCACCACACGCTGGGGCTGTGAATCCGAAATGAGCCCCTGCTACGCGAAAGCTGCTACGCTGACAGACACCAAGATAAACCAAATGCCTTCAAAGCTAGAACTCATCACCCGCAGGTGAAGAGCTAGGCTGCTGTGCTGGGAACGGCAAGAGAAATTCAGGTCTTTGTGGGCTGGGCTTTCAAGGGAGGTGTACCACAATCACAGGCAAAGACACAGAAAGGGGCATCACCAGAGATACTAAGCACCACTGACCTCAGGGATTTTTCATTATTTTGGGGAAGGGGCTTATTTCACACACACAGAGAGGCACACAGTCTTTTCCAGTAATACTATTGTTAACGTTTCCCATGGGAAAAGGAAGAATTGGAGAGGATGGGCTGACGCTTACGAGACCCCCTGAAGAGAAGGTACTAAACTGGAAGGGGGGCAGGGGGGAGATTAAAGAAATAAAACCACAAGTTTTAAGAACAGTTACTTAGACGTGTGCCGAGCGAGGCCCCCTCCTCAGAGAAGGGAAAGGTCTCCTTCCGTGATGAACCAGCAAGTGCCTGCTGCTGCTAGAGCCCTGTTACTGGACTTGCTACACTGGCAGTGCGAGAGAGACAAATAATCATTCCTTTCCCATAAAAGCATTTCCTTCCAGCGGTCTTCAGCTGTCGCCCGTGGTTTTTACATTGGTATGACCTGACCGGTGACGCAGGCTCCCTCCTGCTTGATGGCATGAAAAGGCCCAACCTCCCCACCTTGCAAGCGACATCTGTCTTCACTACAGCAAGAAGCTGTTCTTACTCAAGAAATACATAATTCTCTTTTTAATAGCGTAGGCTAAGTCCTAGTTCTGATATGACTTTCTTTACAGAAGCTAGTTGTAAATTCTCTCAACTCTGAGTTTGATTCCCAAGGAGATACCTGTTTCTCTACAGGTTTTTATGCTTTTTTTCCCCCCAGCTCAGTTTCCATTCCTTTTTCAAGAGAAGCACAAAAAACCCATAGTGAAACCTGGACAACAAAAATTTGACACACAAAAATACATAAAAAGTTTTTTTTTTTTTAATCTAAAATAGCACACTGCTTAAATACCAACTTTTAAAACTATTACAGGTTCACTAATCAGTGCAATTAGTAACATGGATAAAAGCATTAGCCTAAACCCCATTTTTAAGTCAGAAGTGTATGCTTAGCAATTACACTCTCAAACTGCTACTCGTGCTGTGAGCAGGAGGGTGGGCTGAGGTAACGTCCTATAGTTGCTCCAACCCACGAGATGCTGGGATTTGGGACAGACCTCCTGGACTATAGCGTGCAGCTCTGGCCTTTGCAGGTCAGGCGTGTGATGGGGTCCCATCCCAACATCTCACACACACACACACCCCCAATCTTAAATAGAAGTGAATAATTGGAAAGCAATGCAAAATATCAGGGGGGAGGGGGGAGCCTGCATCTGGGATTGCCCTCAAGCATCTCTCTAGGGTGTATGCAGCTCTCCTAGCATGAAAATCTCTCTCTCAAAACATGCAAAGCCCCCGCTTTGAAGACCTCAGAGAACCATGTAGTATTTGCGTCCACAGAAACAAATACCACTGCTCAGCAACTGCCTGTTGCTCTGTGATACTCGACAGTTCATTTTCCCGGCTTTGACTTTGACCATTTTCATGCTAGGCTCAGGAAGGTAAGTGATTACTTACAGCCCAGTAAAATAGTTAAGCAGAGACATGTTTGTCACAGCATTCCTACCCTGGGAGGCTGCAGGACACAAAGCAAGCTTTTAAAAAAGAATGAACAAATGAAGGTGGGGGAAGACAGAAAGTATACATGACATTACAGCTCAAAATCTAGGCCCACAGAGCGCAACCCACATGAAAAGATCAGTCCTAAACCGATGGCACAGACTGTTCATCTCTGAAGCTACATATTTTAGTGACCTCCTGATGACGCTGCTGCATGCTGTGCTAGATGGGCTTTGCAGCATTTTATCCACGTACGCCACAATTAAAAGCCTCACGTTACAATGCCAAAGTTAATTGTGTCCTTTCTCAAAACATAATTTCAAAAGTCTGTTTTGGTTTTTTGGGTTTTTTTAAGGGGGGAGATTTCTATTCCTTGGACAACTGCAGCAATTAGTGTGAAATTTTAATTTAGGGTGAAAAATGGTTGATCAGCACATTTTACAAGAGGAAAGAGCTGGACCAAATCGCTATGTTTATGGAGACACACTAAGTCATGCTAAGAGAGGAATATTTACTGCAAGAGAAAAAGGCAATTAATTTATGCCATTTTGATCAAAGAACTGCCTGCTAATCGGGATGTTCCCTGCTGAATTTCAAATGGTTTCATGCTGCTAGGAGAGTCACGTGAGGGTTGGTAGCTTGAGTGTGCAGAAGTACAACCATTCTCTTACTTTGTTCTTCGACAAGCAAAGCTACAGAAAGGAGTCTAGTTTGTTTGCCAGATTTCTTTTCAGATGGTTCACCCTGCGCTGCAGACAGAAATTCTCAACTCGCTGTAGAAAATCACAGTCAGAGGGTTGTGGGTTTTTTCCAGCTAATTAGTGTAACTAATTAGAAGGGACAATATTCCCTTCTTACAGGCTTAAATGAACAATGAACGAAAAGATGATGTTTGTAGACTGCTCTGCCAAAATAAGAGTAAAACCCACCATTTTTGCCAATTTACAGAACAACATTCTGGGGGCATCTTGAAGAGGTCCGCCACTAGGTCACAGCTGGTTTGGCACACAGCTCCCTAGGGCCGAGCAATGAATTTCCAATTGGACAGTATCCATAGAGTGCCAAGACCACAGGTATCTCTCTATAGCCAAGAGAAGAAGGAGTTGCCTCCCCATATTTCACCCTCTGAACCATTTGGGAAAAGTAACACAGTAACTCAGGCTATAAAACCAACTTGCAGCACCCAGATTGAATACAGCAGAGAACAGGTGACAGGCTTTGTTCTCAAGTACATCATTTGGAGACTAAAAATGGCATCGTTTCCAACTGGAGAAGCTAAGAATATAACAAGACAGGCAGGCAAAACCTGGAAGGGAAGGAATGCAATTTATTGAGAAACAGTCTCTGCGCCCAACCCAGAGAAAGACAGATTCAAGTTAACATTCTCTTAAAAATACATTGAGTTCCCAAATTAGCTCACTTTCCTTATGGCAGCCCTTGGGGAAAGCAGAATCGCAAGACCATCAAAAGGGTAGATTTTTAACACCTAGAAATTTTCTTGTTTTGACTCAGGGGACAGGATGGAAAAAAGGAAAAGTGGGATGCTAGATTTTACCCTGGAGCAGCTCTGGGAAGAAACTGTCAATTCCGTGCCACCACGGTCCCCACTGGCTCAGATCATATACTTCACAGGAGGGTGAAGGTGCTAATTTGTGGATACGCGTGCACCCCTTGGTGTGAGCTGACCGCCCAGCGGCACAGGATGACTTACCCACGCAGAGGATGTTGAAGCAGAAGCCCTGCGATGTTGACTTGTTGACCAGCTGATCAGGGAGGCTGTCGAAGCCCACGTGGCCAGAGAGGGACAGGTTCCTAAGGTCATCACTCTGGAAGACCAAGAAGAAAGGCATTTGACAGAGTTGCAACACCCCTGTCAGGAAAGAAGGCTGTGACTAGTCCTGTCAGATCTGTGTAACACCACAAGAGTTTTTAGGACACAGGATCTTTCTGTCTTAGGTTTGCCTCCCGAACATGCTCTGCTTTTACTTCTATCCAACTCTCTGCTGTGGGGCTCAGGAGCTAAAACGTCCCCAACCCCAAGGCAGGCAAACACCACCAGACGGTTTCTCCGTGCCTGTGACTAATAAAGCATGATTCTGTACCAATTTGCAACACCCAAATATTGTTTCTGAGGCCTCAGTATCACATCTTCCTAGGGTTACCCAAAGATTATTTAGGCAGACACCTGGAAGAGAGACACAAACACGGTCATACCTGCAAGCAGACCAGTTCCTCCTTAATGGGTGAAGCAGCTGAGCCTGCCTCCTCCGCGTCCACTGTACAGCTCTACGGCAGAGACCAGCCAACCTCCCCTTTCAAGACTCCCCCAGCAGCGTGGGAGCTTCTCCAAACCACTTGGTGAGGCCAGCTCTCCCAAACAGCACATGAAAGCGTGACACAGGTTGTGTTGCAGTCCTGGTTGCAACTTCAAAATCTACTCCTGATAGAAACCTGTGTTGGCAAGCAGAGAGCCAAGCTCGTGCTCTCCTTGGCTCAGTTTGCCAAAGGGAAGGAGCAGCTCTCTCAGACTTGCTCTATCCTCCCAGCAGTACAAGGCAAATGCCACACTCTTGCACTTTTGCGGCAACCCTTCGGCATGGCCACAGCAGGACATAGCTTAGATGGCACCACCGCCTCTACAGCCAGCTAAATCTCTTTCCAGCTTTTACAGGCCTTGACCGGAAGGGAAAAGAGCTCTGCGGATGCCTTGGTTTACAAACAACCTCATCCGACACAAGGCGAGAAAGCAGGGCACCGTTCCCGGCGTTTCCTGCATGACCTACAAAGCCCACCGTGCTGCCCCTCCGTGTCTTCAGTAGGAAAAAAGCCGGGCCCAGCACTCCAGAGGTGCAAGTCACCCCTCCTGACCCGCTCTCTTCCTCCAGGCTGCCTGGGGGGCCCGAGCTGATAACAGCCAACACCCCCAGGCCGTTTTGTGGAGGGTAACGGGGCAGCGCAGACCTCGCAGAAGGGAGGTTTGAAACAACTCCAAGATTATATTTAGGACTTTTCCACAACAGCTGTACAGTAATTCACAGAGGGGCTTGGAAAAAGAAGCCAGCCTGGTTATCTCTTCCCTGGCAAATCACAGTTATGCCAACAGCCTGAACACGGATTAAAAAAAAAAGAGAAAAAAAGAAAAAACTCCTCAGCAGCCCTAGAGCAGCTCTGTTGTTATTTCACACAATGTTTTTCTCCAAAAGTTTGTTGTCCTTAACTTAAGATACTAACCTTTCTCCAAACCCAAACATTTCCAGTAGAGTCACTCCACCTAGGCCATACTATTGAGCTAAATTACAGCCATGGCCAGCCTCAGCCTGGTTTAAAGATGCTGGAAGCACCAGCTGCTTTTCCACAAAAGCAGTGGGCTTTGGACCAGACATGGAAAAAGACACTCTTTAGTTGTTAAAATAAGAATCAAAAGCGGAGGAGGACTTCCCACTCTCTGCACAATTGCCGAGCATCCCCACTTCCCTCCTCAAAACATACAGATCAGCCACTGACTGCGGGAAGAACTAAGTTACATCTGGGCTGAGTGTCGATGAAAATACCACTGAGGCTTAAAGGAAAAAAAAATACAGTAATTCTCTGAAAAGGCAACATCTCCAAGTAAAAATGTCTAAGAGTCTGTGCCATCACCATATCTAAGAGGGATGGAGCAGGAGCAAACGGCTCCTTTTTGTCACGCTGGCACACACAGCTTGACACCTGTACTAGATACCTGAGCCTTCTCTAAACACCCGAACCAGGCTTGTCTGAAGGCGTAATGCCAATACACCACACTTCTCACCTCCATCTCTCCATATATTGGACGGCTATTCACCAGCACCGTACCACAGAAGCTTAAGGTGATTAAGAGATGCCACCTCCTTCACTCAGGCTGGGTAAAAAAAAACAAAAACAAAACCCAAACCAAAAAACCAAACGACACAAAAGAGACCATCACCTCATTCACCCGCAACAGTGATTTTCCTGGAAAAGCCCCAGGCAATGGAAGGAGATCCTGGGATTTATGCATGATGCGAATGGGTTAAATAAAATATTTGTAACATTAGTATTTTTAAGATGCCAGTGGGCTTGGGTTTATGATTAAGTGAAGGCAGCTCGGAGCAGATCCCAGAAAGCAATAGGTGCCCATGACTCACAGGCTTCACAGAAAGTGGTGGGTGTTGAAAATCTCTCAGCACAGC